CCAATTCTTTCCAATGGATCAGTTTAGATTGGCTGAGATAATCAACACTGATGATCTCAGTCAAAGAGGCAGAGCTGCACAGAGGAGACCAGCTCGACAAGGGAAAAAGGTAAGTAAATCACCTTTTTTAACACTGGCAGTGCCTGCCCAGTCAATTGTATTCTTTGTAATCCTAACGCTATTGTTACATAGTTGTCTAGGTGGAAAAATGAATGAAGTCCATTAAGTTAAACCCTGAAGCCCATTCATTTATGCTGTTTATCCAAAAGAAGGCAAAAACAACTGTAGCCATTTCCAAATATGCAACAAAAAGAGGAAAAAAATGCTTCTTGAATCCATAATGGAAATCAGATTTCTCATTGGATCAACAACCTGTTTACATACATACAGAGGAATAGTGTGTTAACAAGGCGCTTAATATGATATACAATAAATATAGATAGCAGCTACCACTATAAATAGGGACTCTCCACCCTATACATAAGCATAAAACATCAAGTGAACACTCAGTGAGGAATTGGCAGAAAACCACCCCTGGTGTACAAGTGGAGCGCTCAAATTATAATACACTCACCCATATGGGTATATATACAAATGTATATGTAAACTTCAGAGACAACGTGTCTAGAACAGATATAAATACAAAAAAAGATGGTGCAAATAACGTCACAAGATAGATGCAATAGTAAAATGATCTATATGGATTCACTCACATGGCTCTGAGCCCTCTAGGATAGGCTCAGATCACAACAGCAGATGTGTACTTCTGGCGACACCAAACCCAAAACGACTCTCTACCCGTCAGTAGATCCCTTACATGGAAGAGGAACACAGGGGAGAAGGAAGAATCCTAGTGTAGCATGTCTCAATAATAGAGAATAAATGTATAATATTGGCTTCTCACCTGTTAAGGAGCCCTACACCTGGCTCTCAGTATATAGGTATCTGTGCCTTTAAGGAGGCTACCACCCTTCTTTCAGCAGAAAAAATGGAAGATAGGTATCAGATTAAAAATTAAATTTAATATGTAAACAATATACAAATAAAAATAAACAAAATTATATAAATATAATAAAAAATATATATGTATAAAAAATATATAGCAAGAGTGAAGATTCTCTTATCTTCCAGCCGAGACGCGTTTCGCTGTACTAGGACAGCTTTCTCAATCGGTGATGTGTTAGCTGCTTGTTGTAGTTTAAATATCGTAGTCTCACTCATGATTGGTGCAATAATTATCCAATTGTCCAATCTCTTCTCCCTAATAGTTGTGGGTGTCCCCATTCTCGCGGGCTGCCGGTCTACTTCCGGTTCTTCGACGTCTCACGTGGTCCATGCCGCGTCAGAAAAAGGGGCGTGTCCTCTCGCCGGCAACATGTTCACATGGGAGTCCATTATAGAAGTGGGCAAACGCCCACAGTAGAGTCCAATGTATGCAATAATACCTCACATCGTTTAAAAAAGGGAAATAAAGAGACACATTATTATCAGCACATATATTAGTGCTCTCAAAAAACCTGTTATGTTACAATAATAGTAATCAATGTTATTATTTCTTTACACCATAGACTAGACGAATGACTTCACTGGTATCTATTTTCATCTAGTGTATATTGTAAAGAAAGACTAGCAATGGTGTCTATGTAAAAAGGCACCATTATCAAAATATTTATATTTATAAAAATAATGCCAATGCATCCATAAAGAAGGAAACTATAATAACAATGCTTACATAAGAACAATATGTTTAAAACAATCCATATTTAGATGTTAATTCCTTAAAGTGCCAGTGCTCACTTTCACCAACAAGTGAAAAAAAGTGAAAAAAAGTGCTGAATATTAAACATATGGCCAGATCCAATAAACAATACTGATCCTGGACTAATGATTCTTAAATATAGTGCTAATAATCCATAAAAAGCTATGTTAAAAAATGACAGAGTTCAAAATCATCATTTAAGCCATTAGGCTGCATAGTGTTTAAATTAAAAATCCACTGCATTTCTTTTTTACCCAATTTCTTGATAAAATCACCTCCCCTCCAATCTGGTAATATTCTCTGTATCGCATGGAATTGTAGTCCAGCGGGGTCACTATTGTGTTTATTTTTAAAATGCAAAAAAAAACTATGTTTTTCAAAACCATTCCTAATGTTTCTGATATGCTCCTGTACAGGGCCGTCTTTAACGCGGGGCAAACGGGGCAGCTGCCCCGGGCCCAGTTGCTCCTGGGGGCCCAGAGCAGCTGCTCTGTGGGCCCCGCGATTTGCGCAGCCCTATGGACCGGGAGGCTCCCCGGGTGGCCCATGCAC